GGGGGTACTAGGCTTCAACTTAGGGGCACTTGATCACAGATCCTCATCCCCAGCCCTATTTTGTATTTTATTTAGAGACAGGGTCTCACTGAGTTGCTCAGCACCTCATTTTTGCTGAGGCTGGCTTTGAACTTGCAATTCTCCTGCCTCAGCCTCCTGAGCCACTGGGATAACAGACGCGCGCCACTGCACCGGCTTTATTATGTCTTAATATACAGAACATACATTTATGAGAAATAACTATTTTTCCCAAAACACAAATGACCGTAGTGAGGAGACTGGCGTGTTCTCCATTCCTGCCGATCTCATCAACGTGAGATCAAGACCATTACTCGAGCTCCTGTGCTCAGAGGGCTGTTCTGACTGAAATATAGGCAGGACACCTGGGAAGGGAGGAGCAGGTGGTAGCACTTCCAGATGACTGTGGGTTTTTGACACTACATAAGAGGAGTGTGGCGGTTTGTTACAGGGGTGCTGCTACATGGATGGCGAATCTCAAGAGGGGGCCTCTTCTCTCCTACATGCAAGCCCAGTGATGGACGTTGCCCTCTCCATGGCTCTCTTGCCCATGAATGATTGTATAATGTCATTTATTGGTCATCTGGAAAATACTGGTTCACTGAGTTACAAAGACTTTCTAAGTGGTGACTCATTTCGTGGTATCTATTAAAAAAATCCCATTCATTTGCATCACCAGGGAGTCCGAAGTTCCCTTAAAAGCTCAAATTTTATCATTGACAACACAGTTATTTTCCTTCAAGTGACATTCTCATTTAGTTTATGTTTTGAGAAAATGCCTGTTAAATATTTAAGTCTGAATAACTCATTTGTCTATTAGTCATTTTCCAGGCAAAAATGGTGTTCCCTGCACATGTGGCAGTTCCACTCAGGACACCACGGCACAGGAGCCTCCCTACCCTCCCAACTCCACTAAGCCTTGTAGCCCCAGTACTTACGCAAACCCCACAGCTCAGCAGACGGGGACTAAAATGCTAGGATGTAATATATTTAATATCGGCCTGCTTTAGCCAGGCCATCAAGTGAAACTGAGTATGTGGCTGTTAATATGCTAGGTCACCTTAGTGCCACTGCCTGGCTTCTTGCTAAGGTGCCAGAAGCTGTACCTACTCTCACTTCTGGACCATCGATGCAAATGTCAATAAAGTGAAACAAGTCTTAGCGTTATTATGGAAATAATTTCGACTCCACAGACCCTCTTCAAGGGTCCACAGGCCAGGAACCTCTGATCCACTGATTCGAACAGAGAGGTTCCAGAGCTCTGAATCTGGGATCTACTGCAGGCTGTAAGGAACCAAAATGCTCTGAAATCATAGGTAAAAACTGGCACATAGATCCGTTTTTCAGATTTTGAAAGGGTCCAACCCTAGAATTTAACTCCTTAAACATTATTATCAAAGCAGTTTTACTTTTATTGCTTTGAATTTCTTAAATATACTGTTATTTGTTTTTTTGACCAACATTTTGACTATCAGAAAAACATCCAGCTTAAGAAGCAAACTAACTAGAAAATTTAATTAAAACAAAACCAAAAACAGATGGATGGTTTTTGTTTGTCACACAAAAGCCTGCACAGAAACGTCCAGAGTATCATCGTGCACAGCAGTCAACCCCGAGGTGACCCAACAGATGAGTGATAAGTAAGATGTAATGGTGTTGAATAAGGGAATATTATAGGGTAATAAAATTATTTCGTTAAAAAAAAAAAAAGAGAGAGAGAAATAAGGTCCTGCTACAATGGTAGCACATGGATGAGCCAAACTCCAGCTAAGTGAAAGGAACCTGTCATAAAAGACCCTGTACTGGGTAATTTCAGGCACGTGAAATGTCCTGAGTAGGCAACCCATAGAGACAGAAAGCAGACCATGGTGCTCAGGGCAGGGGCTGGGGGAAAAGGAGTGACAGCAGTAAGGACAAGAATTCCTGTAGGTGGTAGAAATGTCCTAACATTAGATGTGATGATGGCTGTACAGCCTTATATTCAAACCAAAAGCCACTGAAGTACATATTTTAAGGTGAATTAAGGTATGTGAGTAATATGTCAATAAATGTGTTAAAAAAGCAACATAGCAGTCTAGTCTAGCAGACAATATATTTAAAAGTGGCAGCGATAGGAGTTCAACATCTACAGAGCTTCCAATTCTTCAAAGTCAGTGGAAATTAACATCTCTAAAAACACTATGACCAAAATATACACAAGCATCACAGAGACACAGACCAGCCGGCTGACTGCTGCCTAGGTGACTAGCACAGCAGGCAGAGCCGCGGGCTGCAGGGCTCCTCAGCAGAAAGGACCCTGCCAGAGTCCAGCTTCCCCCCCGGCCAGGAGGACTCTGCCTGCGGGTGGAGGCCCTGGGGAGGGAGGGGGCCGGACTTCTGTGGCCTCTGGTGATGGAGGGTCATACAGTACAGTCCCACCCCCACCATGTTCTCTTCCATTCCACATCTCATCAGCGCTGTCTGCAATGTGAAAGAGCAGCATCAGGTCAGAGAGCCCAGCGCGTCCCTGCTCCCATTCCATCCCCAAACTGAGGACTAGGGCCAGGGAAGAGGCTGTGTTCTCTTCTGAACTTATCTCCCTGAATCAGAGCAGAAAGGAGAATGAAGTGTCCCCTGCCCCTCAGTGATTCCAGAAGATAACCGCACGGCACAGTTCTTCAGGGGACAGTGCAACAGGCCTGTAGGTATTTTCTCTCTGGACCTTCTTCCTGCCCATGTGGGCGGAGGGCAGAAGGCACACCTCCACACTGCAGCCCACCCGCCTGGCCTGGGTGACTCTCCTTGCAAAGTACCATCATCTAATACAGTATAGCACTGCTGGCTTATTTTATGCTTGACTCCACTGAAAAACGAAAGCTTTGGGAGAGCAGAAACCTGTGCCCAACTCTATTTCATCACCCAAAGAGCAATGAAATCCACTCCTCCAGGGGAGCTCAGGACAGGTCTGCAGAGGCGCTTCCGAGAGCCAGCTGCAGCACCCAAGAGCTAGCTGATGCTCAGGGCAGGGCAAATGAAGACACAGGAGGAACTCTAGCTGGGAACAATCACAGTGGGGAGCAGAGGAATGGCAGTCAGGAGCATGCTTGGTTCAAGTACAGGTACTGAACCCAACCAGGAAGACCAGAGTCCCTTCAGTCTTTGCAGACTCTTCCTTCCTGGCACATCAGGGACTCCTGGTTACAGAAATCCTTAAAAATGGATCAGTCTTTCATACAGGTGGTTTATGTATCTATAAACTTAATATGTACCAAGAAATTAATTTAAAAAGGAAATAACTTGACAACTAACAATAAGCACTTCAAATGGGGAAATAGTATATTCAATGTATGAGGCAGGGACAAATGACTTTTCAATAATTCTATGAGAAAATGAAGCCTGTACTATAAAAGAAGTCCCATAAGTATTAAAAACGTGACATGGGGTTGGGGATGGCTCAGGGGAGAGGCCTGCTTAGTTCATGTGAGGCCTGAGTTTTTGTCCTTAGAACCTCAAAAAACAAAAAAAGGAAGGTGAAGTGAAGAACAAAATTATGTTAAGTTGTAGGAGAAAATATTAGAGTTTTTTCTGTACAATTCTGGGGCTGGGGTAGCCTTCCAAAGAAAGTGAGAGTTGAAAAAGACACACCATTTCCTTGGTCCACACAAGGGACATTTTAGCATTTACTTTCTGCTCAGCACACACCTGTCACTCGTCTCCAAGCAGGAGTCAGGCAGAGGGGCCACACAGCCTTGTAGCCTTGAGGCTGGCCATGCACAGCTGTGCTGGTCAGAAAAAGTAACTGAAAATAATCAAGCTGATCACATCTTTAGACAAAAGACTCAATTACAAAAAGGAACATTCCTTTCATCTTCTTTTTCCAAAGCAAAAGTACTAAAGCAAGAAATAAAAGTATTTTAGGTCAACAAGTCTAGTCCACTCTGAAATACATAGCTTTGGTGGGAAAAATCAGTAACTTAAGAGAGAGAGTTCAATGAAAACTAGGATTTAAAATTCCCTGTTAAGCAATGTTAACTTACCAATAACTGGGGGGACTAATTTCAAAGGCAGATAAAATAATAACAATGAAAAAAAATGCAACAGAAAACTGGAGTTCAGCCTCAAACAACAGTTCTGTGACCATCCTGTGAAATGCTCAGGGCTGAGGTAACAATGAGTGGAGTAAGAGCTGCCACTGACCTGCAGATAGGCAGGGAGGAGGTCTGCAGAAGAGACCTGGCTGCAGGACAAGACTCTCTCAGTCACTTGGGATACTATCCTGATCTCAGGACCAACAGACGAAGGCCTTCCCAGCCAACAGGCTTGGACACAGCATGCTGACATCTGTTTGGTTCCCATCAACACTTTAACTCTGTCGCAGCATTAGAACATGGAGGGACAGTGTGCTTACTTCTAAACAACATAAGGGCTCTAGTATATTAGTGTTATATATATATTTATTTATTTGGTACCAGGGATTGAATCTAGGCACTTTACTACTGAATCACATCCCTAGTCCTTTTCAATACTTTAAGAGACAGGGTCTTGCTGAGTTGCTCAGGGCCTTGCTAAGTTGCAGAGGCTAGTTTTGAATTTGTTATCCTTATGTCTCAGCTTCCTGAGTCACTGGGATTACAGGCGTCCACCACAGCTCCCAGCACATATGTTTTTTAAAAACAAAAAATTTAAAGAGGATAAAATAATAAATATGAATAAAAGTTCTAGTATTTCTACCCAACAGGGTAATTGTGAAGACTGAACAAGTTAATAATGCAAAACACCTGCTAGAAGGCAGCTGGCCCTCTCACTGCTATCATCACAACAATCCGGCGTGCAGCACAAAGAACACTTTCATCCTTCCTGGGACAAGCACAAATCTTGGAAAAGGAGGAGGCTTTTTCTGGGTAGTGCTGTGTTGGGCTCAGATGTCCCAGCCTGTCCTGAGAACATCAGGGTCCTTCTGCAGCTCAGGGCTGGGACGCACTGGTCAGGCTGCAGTTACTTACCATATGGACTACTTCAGGGTAAATGGGCTCTGTGATCACATTCCGATTGTGGGTGATGTATTCTACCATTTCACTTAGAGCAGCTCGTTTTACTTCCTTCCACTTGAGGTCACTCAGTGGGTCGGAAACAAAGTCGAAGAGGACACAACACTGACGTAACTTCTGGGTAAAAAGCTTCTCTTGATCCGCAGGAGGAACATCTGAAAGGAAGAAGGCAAAGCACATTGATCTCGAGTGCCTAACCCAAAGGTACTACGACATGCCTAAGTGCTTGTTTCTTCTTATTTTGTATTAATAGAGGTTCAAGAAGAAGGAGAGAGGGTGGGGTGAATAGAGGTTAAACATTCCTTAAACAACCAGCTAGTCACTGCTCAGATCACAGGTTTTGTATGATAAAGTAGGATTTTTCTTTTTCTTCGGTACTGGGGATTGAATCCATGAGTGATCTACCACTAACCTGCATCCTCGCACCTTTTACAATCTTAAATTTTGAGACAGGGTCTCCCTAAGTTGTGGAGGCTGGCCTCAAACTTTAGACCCTCCTGCCTCAGCTTCCAGACTTGCTGGAATTATAGGCATTCATCACCATGTCCAGCTATTTTTTTCACATTTTTAAAAATTAAGAAAAAAATTTTTTTTGATACTAAGGATTGAAACCAGGAGTTTTTAACCATTAAGCCACATCCTTTTGAGACAGGATCTCACTAAGTTGCTTAGAGCCTTGCTAAATGGCTGAGGCTGGCCTTGAACTTGAATCCTCCTGTCTCAGTCTCCCAGTTGCTGGAATTTCAGATATGTGCCACTGTGCCTAGCTGTTTTTCACTTTTTGAAACTGTGTTGAAAGTAAGGTTCAAAATAAATTCCCTCTGAATGCATTTATTCAACAAATACTTTCTAAGTGCCAGTGATCACACGCCTGGCACTGCACTGGACTAGGAGGGAAGAACAAGAGGTAAAGGGTGAGCCTGTCTGGGCTGGGGATGTGGCTCAAGCGGTAGCGTGCTCGCCTGGCATGCGTGCGGCCTGGGTTCGATCCTCAGCACCACATACAAACAAAGATGTTGTGTCCGCCGAAAACTAAAAAATAAATATTAAAAAAATTCTCTCTCTCTCTCTCTGTCAGGGGTGTGGATCTTTAATCCATGTGACCACTGCAGAAAGCAGGTGCAGGTGAGCAGAGGACCAGAGGCAGGGGTGCTTGCTCATGTGTGTCTGCTGGTTCTGAAATTCCACAGGCAGGTCAAAGGTGGCTGTCCATTCTGGCTAACTGACAAACACTTGCATCAATCTGAAGACTGTCAAACTACTAGTAAGACAACCAATAACAGCAAGCACCTTAGTGCTCCTGAGCACATTTCATTCCTTATGCTAGAGTCGGCCCGTCACACGTGGTGACGGGGGTGTTAGTGACAGCAATATAGGAGTAGCAATGAGAACAATAACAATTATTTAGTGAGTGCTTACCTGAGCCAGAGCTTGTGCTAAAACTTTTATATATAAATACACACTTTTTGTCACTTAACCTTTACAGTAAGACAATAAAGAATGGTGTTATAACAGCATCCAAGGGCAAAAGAAGCATTTGAAGTGCAAGGCAAGTCACTAGATTTTAGTGCAATAAATGTACAGACACGATTTCAGGTCCCACACTGCAGATTTCCTTTAAGAAACTGCCCATTTATTAAGTTTTAGTATAATATCAAAGAAAATGCCATATTTTCTTAAAAGACCATTAAAACACTTCTGCTCTTCCCAACCACGTCTTCCTACACTCCACCAAAGTGACATATAGTCAAGAATGGATGCAGGGGCAGGCAGCAAAATCCAGTCATTCCCAGCAAGCCAGACAGAACAGACACTTGAAAAATAGAAAACCAATGTCACTCTTCTCACTCAAGCTGTTTTGTTTTGGAAAATATGTCCATCTTCATAAAAATATTAACTTGTTAACACGTGGTAAGCTTATTCTTTTAAATGAATTCATATTATTAAATATATATTAAAATTTTCTCTGGTTTGTTGAAAAGTAAGGTCAATATTGATATCTAACATCACATGAACAGAAGCTTTGGGATCCTGAGATCTACCGCCCTACCACAGCAGGTTGAATGCCCCCCCCCCCCCCCAAGTTTTCCTCAGCAAATGTGCTTGTTCTCAGGCCACGGTTCCTCCCGCTTCTCTTGCCGTTTCCTGTCCTACTGATCGCCAGTTTCTGCTTAGGTATATTCTACAGGCCTTTCCTTACTTCCTAGTTACAAAGGAGATACCCTCATTGAGGATCTGCCTCCTGCAGCTTTAAACAGCAACCTTGCTTGTGGCTTCCTTGACTGCAAGCTCCATGAGCGCCATGGACCCTACTGCTTTTAGTCCTCGGAATCCCTTATGCCCAGCATGAGCCTGGCTGACAGGCACACAGACACTGTGACCTGGACGGCCCGCAAGCCCAATCCTCCTGCCACAGCCTCCTTATTTGCTATACTGCATGCAGAGATGAGCAGCACAGAAGCAGGCATGGGGTGGCAGTGCGCTGGCTTTTTAGAAATCCCAAGATCCAACACTGGACCCTAAATACTCCACGTATTCCAGTGACTGTTTGACCATCTTTAATGCACAGGGCCTTTGCGAGAACAGAGTTTCTGAACTGCCTCCCTGCTGGCTGTGGTCCTCTCTATTCCACGCCTGTGCTCAATTCCAGCTTGCCAGGATCCCTCAGTGAGCTCCCACTTGTTGGTACAGCCTGTCTACCTGGAACCTGTCTCTGGCATTCTCATCTTCTCAGTACTGTGCAGAGAACCTAGAAGACCACAGTCACCCCAAGGACCACCAGCACCCTCATTCAGGATCTGCCTTTGAGGAGTTTTCCTTGCTGAGTCCTTGACAAGGATGGTATCGAGATGGTACCCTCAGACCCATCTGAGACAGGGACATGCTGAGTGATGAAGAGCTTGTCCAGTGCTGCTCAGTGACAGGGCAAGGGTACACATAAGATACGCCTTGTATTTGGGAATGGAAACCCAAAGGATGCTGTGATCACTCAGGGTGAGATCAGTAAGTTTCAGAGACCTCAGAATGCCTGGAAACCATCAACTGCTTTTAAATGATAAAAGCGATAAATGATAAGAAAGAAGAATAAGCCATTTCTTTCTATAATATTTCTATTAAAATGATTTTAAAAAGCAAGTAAGTCTCAACTCTCTAGAAATTATCTTAATTCTCCCAGGATCCCAGGCAGTTGAGATGTTATTGTAATATTTTTGTTTATGGTCTACAAATAGATTTGTCATTACAATCTCATGAACAGTTCAACTTCCATTTGGCCATTTAAAAAATATTAGTGTTAAAAAATCTTTAACAATCTAATTGAGCATGGAAATGAAAAAAAAAAAAAAACTGCATCCTTAGGTCATATCAAATATTTTCACATTTCAAAAAAATGCAAGTTAGCTCTCTTTGTTTCCGGACTGCCATGTTCTGAGCCACTTTCCTCTTCCACACACCATGAAGTTCTGCTCACCTTGGACCCAGAGTCACAGAGTCTGCTGTCTACCGAGACCTCTGAAAACTTTGAAGAATCCAAGAGCATATGCAAAGTCCGTAGTCAAGGAAGACTCGAGATCAATAACAAAGTCCCATTATGGGCCAGGGTTTCGCCATATTCTTCAATTTTGGAGGTAAGAGTTCGCTGATTTTATATTGTCTTATGATGCATGAGCTAGTTGGCACTTCCAAAGTCCCTGAACAGATCAAGATTAAACTCACTGAACTATCACAAGAACCATCACCTGTTCCAAAATACTGATATTGTAAAGGAGGTAAAAAGACAATTTGCAAAGAACTAAAAGAATTTTAGGAGAGGAAAGCAAAACACAAATAAAACTCCTAAAATCAAAGAACAGACAAGAAGCTTGACAAATTCAGGAAAAAAAAAGGGCGGTGAGGCTACCAAGAAACCTTTAAGAGGCGAATTTTGAGAAGTTCCTACCTAAACTGAGTGCTGATGCTAAAACTGAGAAAGTCTTTGTGACAAATTATCAGAAGATGATGACTTATGAAAAACAGAAGTCAACCCTTTTCAAGGATAATGCACACAATTCAATTTTATTTGTTAACTGTAGCAGTGTATTTAATTCAAGTCCAATCCATGTATTGTTTCACCATTCATTTTTAAAATCTTAAACCCAATACATTTTAGTAAATAAAAATTGTATTTGATCAACATCTTTAAAAAAATAGAGGCTATTTTCTGCTGTGTTAATAGGACAGTAACACAGGGAAATAAAAATGGATGGAGGTGGTGGAGGAATGGGCTTTACATCTTAATGGATTCTGATTTTTCCCCAATGCTGGGGATTGAAGCCAGGGGTTCTCTTTCTCACTGAGCTACATTCCCAACTCTTTTGGTTTTGAGAAAGGGTCTCACCAAATTTCCCAGTCTGGCCTCAGACTTGTGATCCTCCTGCCTCAGCCTCCAGAGCTGCTGGGATTACAGGCATATGCTTCTGCACCCAGCTGATTTCTTAACAGTGCAAACATTATTAGAAACACCTAACATCTGCCCAGATTATTTCAGCATCCCCCAGTTTTAATTAATTTATTCCTATGAACTTGAGATACCACCCAGTTTTTCAGGATAGATCTTCAATGAATACCCAGGAGAAAAACATACATACTAGGGCCTCTGAAACAATAGAGGTCAACAAAGATGGTGGTGAGGGGGAATGAAAGGAAGGGAGAAGGGATGGAAATAGGAAAGACAGTAGAATGAACTGGTCATAACTTTCCTACGTTCATATATAAATACACGTCAGTGTAACTCCACATCATGTACAACCACAAAAATGAGATCCTATTAGCATGAGTTACATTCTATGTATGTATAACATGTCCAAATATATTCTACTGTCATGTATATCTATGAAAAACAAATAAAAACACATAAAAAAGAAAGATGGTGGAATAAGAACAATATATAAAAGCCTATCTATGGAAGGGAAGCCTGTCATTCATGAGTGATACACAGTTATGCTCAACAGAAGCTACCCTTGAAGTAGGATGGGCACATCCATTTCTAGATTTGCAAATGTCTCTGGTGCCAGTGTGCAGAAGGGCAGTGTTCTTACATCGCACAGCACCAGAATGAGACACAAGGACCTGAGCTGGCTCCACTGAGGCAGGGTGAGCCCTGGACTAGCAGGACAGG